TTATCTTATGACTACTTAGCACAGATTGGTCCTAGAAGATAAAAGCTTTTCAAATGAAGACTGGAATTTAAAAAAAATATTGTCATATTAAACTTGAATAATTTATTAGCACTTTCCAATTAAAGGTAAATTTATTTACCTTTAACAAAATAAACTTTGAGAGCTATCAGACTTAAACTGCTATTTTGTTTGTAGTATTCTACTCAAAATTGGGATTGAAATTGGGAATATAGTTGTATTTTTTATTAAAAATAAAATGTTTAAAAGACCTGTTGTATGATTTTTTGTGAAATATAACATGAAATTCACATTTTAGCTTCTTAATGTGTACAGTTCAGTGACATTAAGTACATTTATGCTGTTTTGTTACCATCACCCCTTCTGTCTTCAGAACATTTTCATTATCTCAAACTGAAGCCCTGAACATGAAGAGAACATGAAGAGTCATGTTAAATGACTCTTCATTTCCCCATCCCCAGCCTTGGAACCACTATTCTACTTTTCGTGGATTTGATTATGGATTTAAAGATTCCTGTCCTTAATCATTGTCCAAACCAATAAATAGTGCTGTTATGGATGTGCTACCTCTTTTAAAATTACTGTAACATAACTAAATGCATAATTGCCTTATATTGGGAAATGGTGGGTGCTTCTTGTTAAGGACCTGAAACTAATCAAATTTAGTCACTGCTCCTAGCCATCACTAACCTTACATGCTCACCGGAGTCTGATCATTTCTCTCATTTAAGAAAACAATAATTCTAGAAAATTACTTTTAAGTGACAGGTCAGATGGATTTTTTTGCATATGTTCTTGGTATTCCAGACTTTTTACCAGCCTCCCTGGAGAAAGATAAAAAGGCTTAGTTTTTAAATATTTTTTATGTCTTAGCTTATTAATGTAATGTCATTGTGGACACTGGGCAACAATGAAGAACAAGACCATTCAAACTGATAAATTGAAGATGGCTTTTGGTCATTTAAAGAGCAATAGGAATTTTGGAAATTTGAAAGAAAATGTTACCTTCACCAGGTGGCTTGTCTGGATTGTAAACTTTGTTTAGGAAACTAAGCAGCAGCAGGAGACACAGCCCATGACCTGTCTGGAAGAAAGCAGCAGTGAGTAGGCACGTAGGGCTGCCTGTTCTAAGGGCCCGAGACGAGTACAGTCTTCGGCATGTAGAGGAGGAATCCATGAATCCTCAATGGACACTAAGTGGAGAAAGGTTCTTGAGATCCGTGGTGGCTACAGTGGTTGCTGAAGGCCACAAGCCATTTAGATAGTGCACATGGAGAAGGAAGTTGCTGTGAAATGGAGTTGCCTTGGTGGAGGAGGCCACTAGAGTTGGGCTTAGATCTGGGGAAGAGCTTAGGGCTTGATCCGTTCAGCTGCAGAATGTGGTATAGTCTGTGGAGGAGAATAGGGCTTGGGCCCTTGAGCAGCACTTGGATCAACCTAGTGGAACTCTGGCCTTTTGGAAGCTTGATGAACTTGTACTTTTAAAACTTGTCTGGGAATGGTGCATAGGTGAATCAGGGAAGGTAAATTATTTAAGAGTGGTTAAAATAATTTAATTATTTAATGTTGAGATGCTGAGGGTGTCCACATTTACTCAGTTGCAGTTTGAGTGGCCAAAGTGACAAAGAAGTTGTAAATACAGAGGCTGACCCAAATGGGATGAGAAAAAGGTCAGTAATGACTATAGTGATTAGGTCATGATTTACATAGCATAAATTCTAATATGTACAAATGTATAGATGATGAAAAGTGAGTGCTATAGTTAGGATCTAGGATGTCCCCCAGAGACCTGTATGTAAAGGCCTAGTCCCCAGAACGAGGAGGAGGTGGAAACTTTAGGAGGTTGGGCCTAGTTGGAGATCTTTAGGTCATTGGGAGCTCACCCTCAGGGTATTATGGGGCTCAGCCTTTGGTGAGGTAAATGGCTTTGCTCCAGCACGTGCTTCTGACAAGATGTGCTTAGCCTCCCTTCCAGAAGTATAAAAGCAGTGGGCCCAACTGGATTGAAACCTCTCAAATTTTGAGCTAAAAATAAACCTTTTCTCTTTATAAGTTTATTATCTCAGGTATTAGTTACAGTAACACAAAGCAGACTAACAGCCTCTCTCCTGTCTTTGCCCTTTAGTTTCACCCTACCAATATTTACACATTCTCTTATGTTTATGCATAAACTACATTTTTATTTAAAAAGGTCATCCATCCTTCATGTTCACTGATCAATACCTTGTTTATTTTAATCATCTAGCAATGTATTTTGGAGATAGCCTGTATTAATACATGAAGCACTCCTCTATTAGTTTACTTAGCCAGTCCCCAGTTAATAAAAATGTAATTCTTTGGTTGTTACAAGTCATATAGTGAATATCCTTGTTCATATATTCTTTTGCTTACATACTGAGAGGTGTTTATATATGTAGGTTCATATTACTGCAAGTGGTAGTGCTGAATTAAAGGTACATGCATTTAAAATGTTGCCCCGATTGTCTTCCCATAAGGTTTTGCCAGAATTGCCTATTTCTTAGACCCTCATCAACAGCGTATTACTGATTTGAACTTTGCTGGTCTGTAGTTTAAAAA